AATGACTGATGGTGAGATTTAGCCATGACCATGCCCAAGAGGCAAAACTTCCCGCAGCACTTGTATTGGCCACAGATCTCATGCACCTTCTCAAACCCATCCTCCTCCCTCTTCTTCCCCTCCTCCCTCCACTCCCTTTCTCCTCTTTCCTCCTTTTTCCTCCCCTTCTTCCCCTCCCCCTCCCCTTTCTTCTCCCCTTCATCAGCTCCCCTTTTTCTTTTTCTTTTCTTCTCTCTCTTTCTCTCCACCCCACCTACAGCAGGCCACCTTTCCAGTTCCAGACTGAGATGAAATACCACACTATGGGGCATGGGACCAGGCTTCCTGAGCGGCTGCCATGACATCTTCTGAAGATGGCCACCCAATCCTTCCATTCTGTGACCCTGACCCACAGAAAGAGGGGAGCTACATCTTATCACTAGATGCAGTGGAAAGCTGAGTCACAAAAGGTGATGCCACTTCAGCCTTGTTCACTGGGACACTGACCTTTGGAGCCCTAAGCCACCATGTCAGAAGTCTGAGTGTCTGAAGCCACCATCCATGTAGGTGTTCCAGCCAACAGCTCCGGCTGAGGTCCCAGCCAGCGTAGACTGAGCCCTGGCTATACAGTAGAGCACTTTGCAAACATTATTTCTAGTCTAGAACATCCTAGAAAATACATGTGATTGTCCCCCACTTGCTGTTTCTGGGTCTCTACTTTCCTCCAGGTGTCAGGGCCTGATTCGCCTTCATGTGCCCAGGGCGCTGGAAGGCAGTGCTCACATCTGCTGTGTGTTGAGTGCCAGGCACTTTCCACTGAACCCTCTCAGTGCCTGATGTCATCGGTGCAGAGCCCAGTGAAGTCTGGCTCAGGGGGCACACAATGGGGTTGGAATTCAATTCTGTCCATCCCTGGCCAAGCTGCCCTTGCCAGTAGGTGTTGATTGAATGAATAAGGAAGGGAATGGGCATGGACTGAGTTCAAGTTCTGCTTCTGTCACCCATTTGACGTGTGACTTTTGCGAAGTCACTTCCCCTCTCTGGGCCTCAGTTTACCTCTCTGTGAAGTGGGGTTTAACATATCTCCTTTCCTGGGACCAAGTGAGATGGTGTGTGTACCTGTATTGAGTGCATTGTAGACAGTAGATGGTGGCCGAGGTGACAATCTTTCTGAACCCAAGCAGGTGTTCAGGTAGCAAAAGGAGCCCAGGAACCCCATGGCCCAGTGTGACCACCTCCTCCCTCCCACCACTAGTGGCAGGCCAGGCAATGACGAGGTGCTCAGGAAAGGGTGGTTTCCCAACTAGTCCTGCATGGGCCACAGGCAGCTCTGTCCCCAAGCCATTGGCCCAAGTTTTCTTTCTTTTAATAATTCATTTTTATTGTTGTTGAGAATATACACAGTAGAACATACACCAATCCAGCAGCTTCTACGTGTACAATTCAATGACATGTATTAAATTCTTCGAGTTGTGCAACCGTTCTCACCCTCCTTTTCTGATTTGTTCCTCCTCCATTAAACATAAACTCGCTGCCCCCTAAACTTCGTATCTAATCTTTCCAGTTGCTGCTGTCAATTTGATCCCGTTTAGATAGATCTTAAAAGAGCACAGTGCTCAAGGCAGACATTCTTTACTGGTTAAGCTAAACTATTACTTGGTTTTGAGAAGACTTTAGGGGATAATTTCAGTTTAAGGTTTAAAGATTATCTCAGGGCAATAGTTTCAGGAGTTCATCCAACCTTCATGGCTCCAGAAAGTCTGGATTCTGTAAGAATCTGAAATTCTGTATTGCCCCCCTTTTAATCAGGATTCTTCTAGAGAATCTTTGATCAAAATGTTCAGTAATGGTAGCCGGGCACCATCCAGTTCTTCTATTCTCATGGCAAAGGAGGCAGTTGTTCACAGAGGCAATTAGCCACACATTCCATTTCCTCCTCCTATTCCTGACTCTCCTTCCTCTGTTGCTCCAGTAGAATAAAGCCCAAGGTTTCTTGACTAGGATAGGACAGAGGCCAACCTTGGGCCCTTGTCCCTCTGTCCCAGCACTAGGACACAACTTAAACCCCCTTCCTCACAAAGGGTGGGGTCCTCCAGCCCCCCATGATGAAGAATGGGAGACTGAAGTCTCATGGTATAGGGTTAGTATTGGTGCCTGTGATGTTTAATTTTATGTGTCAACTTGGCAAGGTTATAGGGCCCAATTATTTAATTAAATACTGATCAAGGCATTGCTGGGAAAGTATTAAATCTACTATCAGTTGACTTTAAGTAAAGGAGACTACGTTAGATAATGTGGGTAGGCCTCATCTAATCAGTTGAAGGCATTAAGAGCAAAATCTGAGGTTTCCTGGAGAAAAAGAAATTCTGCAGCATCAACTCCTGAGAGTTTCCAACTTGCCCAAGGAATTTTAGACTTTCCAGCCCCCACAGTCTGTGAGCCAATTCCTTAAAAGAAATCTCTTTATAGAGATAGGGAGATATATAGATAGATATAGATAAGGGGCCCTTGTAGCACAATGGTTAAGCGCTTGGCTGCTAATGGAAAGATCAAGATCAGCAGTTTAAACCCACCAGTGGCTCCTCAGGACAAGGACCTGGAGATCTGCTGCCATAAAGATTACAGCCTAAGAAACCCTATGGAACAGTTCTACCCTGCCATATAGGGTTGCTGTGTGCTGGAATCAACGCAATGGCACAACACAACAAGGTGGATACAGATATTCTACTAGTTCTGTGACATTTTTGCTTCTTAACACTTTAAAGAGGTCTTTTGCAGTAGATTTACCCAATGCAATACGTTGTTTGATTTCTTGACTGCTGCTCCCATGGGTGTTGATCCAAGTAAAATGAAATCCTTGACAACTTCAATCTTTTCTCCATTTAGGATGATGTTGCTTATTGGTCCAGTTGTGAGGATTTTTGTTTTCTTTATGATGAAGTGTAATCCATGCTGACACAGTAGGTGCAACAGTGGGCTCAAACGATGCCACAAGACCAGGCAACATTTCGTTCGGTTATACACAGGGTCACTATGAGTCAGAACCAACTCAGTGGCCCCTAAGAACACAACTGTTGTGTTGTTCTGTTTCTCTGCTGACCCCTGACTGATACGGTGCCCTACTCAGATCCTCTCAGCACACATCATTCCTTTGTACATCAAAGGGAGGGCTTCCCACCGCAAACCCCTGAAACTCTGGGGGGCTTCTCTGGTTTAGTGCAGGGCAAGCCTGAAGGGCTAGAAAGTTAAGATTGTCCCACCCAAGCAACCCTCAACCAGTGACTGCCCCAAATGGAAGAACACTCTGTTTACCTTGCCCATGTTCTCAGGAGCAGATTATCCAAAAAGCAAGGTAAACATAGACTTACTTGTGCTTACTCCCTAGTCTGTAGTGAACAATTTCACATATTTTCCACCACACCTTGCTTACTGGGCAATCCGTCCCTGTCAGGGATTGTAAATTTGAAAAGAGGCTTTGATTCTGTGGGAAGGTGCTGTGGGGTTGGGAGAGAGACAGATGCCAGCCATACCTAGAAGCAGAATCTCTGATGTAGTGAAAAAATATGAAATTGTTCACTACAGATGATCTGGTAAGCAAGGTAAGCACTGTGCTTACCTTGCCTATTGGATAATCTGCCCCTGCATGTTCTACCCTGTCTCCTGGAGTTCCCTAGCAGGACTGAGCCCCAGTTGCCCACCGTGGTAATTCATCTAATGATACACCATGTTCTACGTTTTGATCAAAGGTTCCATATAAGAATACTGATCAAAAGGGGGAAAATGCAGAACAGAATTTCAAATTTTCATAGAATCTAGATTTTCTGGAGCCATGGAGGCTGGATGAAGCCCCAAAACTGTTACCCTAAGATAATCTTTAAACCTTAAACCAAAAGTATCCCCTGAAGTCTTCCCAAAACCAAACAATAATTTAGCTTAACTATTAAAAAGTTTGCATTGAGCCCTTTTAAGATCTATCTATATGGGATCAAATTGACAACAGCAAGTGGAAAGATTAGATAGGAAGCTTAGGGGGCAGTGAATTTATGTTAACTGGGGAGGAAAAACTCAGAAAAAGAGGGTGAGAATGATTGCACAATATAACTGAATTGTACATGTAGAAACTATTGAAATGGTGTATGTTGTGCTGTGTATATTCTCAACAACAAAAATAAAATAAATTATTTAACAAAAAAAACACACCATGTTCTGGCTGCATTTTCTTCCATATCTCACTCCCCTTACTAGTGCTTCCTAGGGTCACCTCCCATATAAACTACGTGCAATTGAATCCTTGTCTTGGGAATCTGCTTCTAGGGGGCCTAGCCTGAGACACATGGTAGTGGCTCTCCCAACCCCAAGCCAGTTTCTGCCCACCCCAGCCTCCAGCCATGGTGTCCTCTACAGAAGTCAGCAGAGCTAGAGGGACTTTCCACCCAAGAGAAGCCAACAGAGGTTCGACAAGGACCAACTCTGCTGAGGCCACCGAGCCTGCAGCTGGCAGGGCCAGGACTCAGACTGATAACACCTGGCCCAGAGTTCCTTCCACTCAACCTTTGCCTTTGTAAGTGTGGGGGTGACAGCATTTCTATGTTAGGGGCCTGTGTGCCCATTTGGCTGCCTCCCCACTTCAAGGAGGGGTGGCTGGAGCCTAAGGGCTCTGTGATGGTTAAGATTGTGTGTCAACTTGGCTGGGCCATGATTCTCCGTGTTTTAATGTAATCACTCCCATGATTGAATATACTGTGAGTAGCCGATCAGATGAAAGGGAGTCTCCTTAGGGGTGTGGCCCGCATCTGTATATAAGCAGACATTCTGGCTTTTTGCTCTCTCTGGATCCTGCGGCTGCTGCCTGTCGTCTCATCTCCCGTTCTTGGGACTTGAGCTGTCAGCTTATCTGCCGAACCTGGGATTCATCGATCTGCGCAGCCTGTGAGTGGGAGCCCTGCTCTCCGACCTTCTGATCTTGGGCTTGCCAGCTTCTGCAGCTGTGTGACTTGGGAGAGGTCTCTACCCTGATCCACGGACTTGGGACGTTCTAGCCTCTACAATCACGTGAGCTGTTTCCTTGATATAATCTCTCTCTCTATATATATTTATACACTTTACTGGTTTTGCTTCTCCAGAGACCCCAGCCTAAGACAGGCTCCAAGAGTGGGGTCTTGTTATGCTGCAGAAATGGAGACCCAGACAGGGGAAATGACTTGTCCAAGGTCACGCAGCTGAATAGTGATAGAGATGGGACTTGAACTCAACTCTTTCTGACCACGTTGTGTCTTCCCCGTGCCCCCATTGCCTCTGTTACAACTGTCACCCCTGCAAGCCTATGAGGTTCTTTGGAAGACAAGACCATGCTTGATTATCACTCTCTCCCCCAGCCCCATGCCCAGCCCAGTAGACCTCAGTGATGTCTACTCAATGAATGAATGAATGAAGTGGCATCCTTCTGGTAGGGTTTTCAAAGATGAATAGAAGTTTACTAGGTAGGAAGGCAGGGAAGAGCGTTCTGGGCTGAAGGAAGAGCCTCTGCTAAGACCTGGAGGTAGCATGATGGGCCTGAATGGGGAGGTAGCAGTTTGGAGGCCAGGCAGGGCTTCCCATCCTTAGGTGACTGGTCACCCTCAGCCAGCACAGGCTGCAGTGGCCTTGGGCTGCCCATCCCAGCCTTGCTGACCTGCTCCCATCCACAAGGAGCAGGGCTCCAGTGCCTCTGTCCTCGGGAGCCCAGCTCAGATGGTTTTAGGTATCTCTTTTCCCCTTCACACCTGGGTGGGTTGAGCAGTATTTATTTAAACTTTCAAGTTATTGGTGTTTTTGTTGAAAGCACAGGAATTACTCATGGTTGGTTTCAGTTCTCCTCTGGCCACCATCGTGTCTTTGTATGCAAGGTACAAATTATATGTCAGCTCAATTCACCATCAATCAGAGGCTGCCGACCAGCCTCAGGAAACAGAGGCTTGGACTGCTCTGGAAGCCAGGTCTGGCTGGAGGTGGCCAGGGGCTCAAATGAGTCATAGTCCCTGAAGTTGCTTGGGATGGGGGCCTGGATGGGAAATAGGGGAGTGACCTGGGAACAAATCCAACCTCTGTTCCTTTTCCCTCTGTGATCCTAGCCAGGTGGTGAGCCAGCCACTCTGACCTGCCTCCTCATCTGTAAAATGGGCGCAGAGAACTATCCACATGGCCGTCTACTGATGTTGTCACCCACTGCCTGGGTGAGCCTGGGCACGCTGTGTACTGTCTCTCTTGGCCTCCAAGGAAGAGTGACAGGGAGTGCTGAAGGAAATGAGAAACTGAAAACAGAAGGCCAGCCTCTGCTTAGCAAGCACAGCCTCAGATCATCTGGCCTCCTGGGGTGTGGCGGTTTGAAAACATGGTCCTAAAATTCCTCCACACTCCTGCTATTGAAAGGTTGGCCTATGTCTCCTCCCTTGCTGCTGGCCTCCATGACTTCCTGACCAATAGAATGTAGCAGAAGTGACCGTATGCCTTGTCCGGGCCAGGCCTTAAAAAACTGGCTACTTCCGGGCTTTTCAGCCAATTGGCTTAATATTAATTTTGGTGCTTCTGTTCTACCTCCTACTCCTAGCGTAGTGCCTGGGGTCTTACAAGCGTGAGCAACCATCCAAGGCACAACAATTGGTCTCTGTTTGTGTTGAGAACCAGAGGAAGACAGAGAGTCAGGAATAGGAGGAGGAGATGGAATGTGTGGCTAATTGCCTTCATGAACAACTGCCTCCTTTGCCATGAGACCAGAAGAACTGCATGGTGACTGGCTACCATTACTGAACCTTTTGATCAAAGATTCTATAGAAGAATTCTGATTAAAAGGGAGAAAATGCAGAACAGAATTTCAAAATCTCATGGAATCCAGACTTTCTGGAGCCATGGAGGCCGGATGACCCCCCCCACAAAAAAAAACTATTGCCCTGAGGAAATCCTTAAATCTTGAATCAAAAGTGTCCCCTGAAGTCATCTTTTTAAATTTTTTTTTCTGTTTGATTTTTCTTTTCTTTTCTTTTTTCTTTAGGGTCTTCCAGAAGGAACCGGAAAACCTACTAGACAAATTCTAAAAGAGCTGTAACACTCCCTGAAATCATCTTCAAACCAAATAATAGTTTAGCCTAATTAGAAAAGAATGTCTGCATTAAGCATTACACTTTTAAAGGACTATCTACATGTGATCAAATTGACAACAGCAACTCAAAAGGATAGATGAGAAGCTTAGGGGGGCAGTGAGTTTGTGTTAATGATGGTGAAATAATTGGGAAAAGGTTGTCGAGAAAGGTGGCACAACTTGAAGAGTGTAACCAATGTCACTGAATTGTACATGTAGAAATTGTTGAAGTGTTGTATATTTTCAGCGCCCCCAAAATTAATTAATTAAAAAAAAAAAAAACTGGCCCCTTCTGCTCTTTTCTCTTGGGATGCTCCCTCTTGGAACCCAGCCACCATGCTGCAAGTAAGCCCAAGAAGAACCCTGGTCCAGAGCCCCAGCTAAGCTCCCAGTCAACAGCCTACACCAACTTCCCAGCCATGTGAGTGTGCCTTCCTGGAAGTGGATCTTTCAGCCTCAGTCAATTTACCCTAACTGGTGCCATGGTGGGCAGAGGTTAGCAGTCCCTCTTGAGCTCTGCCCAAATTCCAGATCCATGGGCAAAATAAACAATTAGTGTTGGTTTAAGCCACTAGCAGTAGGGTGATTTGTTACACAGCAATGGATAGCTAAAACATGGGTGTTATGATTTAATTGTATCCCCTTCAAAATATGTGTTGTAAATCCTAATCCCCTATACCTGTGGATGTAATCCCACTTAGAAATAAGATTTTCTTTGTTATGCTAATGAGACTGTATCAGTGTAAGGTGTGTCCTAAACCAATCACCTCTGAGATAAAAAGAGTAAATTGGGCACAGAGAAGGAAGCACAGAGGGGAAGATACACACCATATGAAGATCGCTAAGGAACCAAGGAACAGAAGCTGAGAAGTGACAAGGACCTTCCCCCAGAGCCAACAGAGAAAGAAAGACTTCCCCTAGAGCCGGCACCCTGAATTTGGACTTCTGGCCTCCTAAACTGTGAGAAAATAAATTTCTGTTCCTTAGAGCCGCCCACTGTTTTAAAGCCACCCACTTGTGGTATTTCTGTTACAGCAGCACTAAGCAACTAAGACAGTGGGGTTCAGTGAAAGGATTTCTGGGGGCATGCTTCATAAAACTCCAACAGGCCTGTACCCCAGTCTCACACATTTTCCAGACTTGCCCGTGTGGGTACTACAGCAATGGTGTTTTGGTAAACGTTTAACAAGTTCCCAGGGGTGGAGGTGGAAACCCTAATTTGTAGCATCTGCCAATCTCCGTGGTGTAAATACCCGCAAATTCAAGCTACCAACGTGACGTCACTGAATGTAGACTTGGGGAGAGATGTTCAGTAGCACACCGTCATATAGTATTTCCACCTTGTTGTTGTTGGGTGCCGTCAAGTCGATTCCGACTCATAGCGACCCTACAGGACAGAGTAGAATTGCCCTATAGGGTTTCCAAGGCTGTCATCTTTACAGAAGCAGATTGCCAGGTCTTTCTCCCGCAGAGCCTCTAGGTGGGTTTGAACCACCAACCTTTTGGTTAGCAGCTAAGTGCTTAACCATAGTACCACTGGGGCTCCTTATTTCCACTTTAATGGTACAATAAATGCAAACAACCTCCACAGCATAGACAAAATAAGAGCAAAGTATAATAAATAATTAGGAAGTGATGAGTTTTGAGTATTTATTATCTTAATTTTTAATATAGGAGAGCAGTGGTGGTTCGGTGGTAGAATTCTTGCCTCCCATGTGGGAAACCCAGGTTCAATTTCTGGCCAATCATGCACAGCCACCACCCATTCATCATTGGAGGCTTGTGTGTGGCTATGATGCTGAACAGGTTTGAGCCAAGCTTTCCAGACTAAGATGGACTAGGAGGAAAGGCCTGGCAATTTCCGAAAATCAGCCCATTAAAACCCTGTGGATCACAATGGCCCAATCCACAACCGAACATGGGGCTTGAACAGGACCAGGCGGCATTTTGTTCCGTTGTGCATCGGGTTGCCATAAGTGGGATCAGGCAATATTTGCCCTTTTGTGTCTGACTTCTTTTGCCCAGCATGATGTTTTCAAGGTTCATCCATGTTGTGGCATGAACTTTATTTCTCTTCACCACTGCATAATATTCCATTGTATGTATGTACAACATTTTGTGTATCCATTCATCTGTTGATGGACATTTAGGTTGTCCATAGGATTTTCAATGGCTGATTTTTCAGAAGTGGATTGCCAGGCTTTCTCCCAAGACACCTTCTTCCAAGGTGGACTTGGTTAGCAGCCAAGCACGTTCACTGTTTGCACTGCCCAGGGACTGGTTCTGTCCTGCCTGAGACTTCAATTTGGAGTCACACAGAATCCTTTTTTTTTTTCAATAATATTTTATTGTGTTTTTGGTGAAGGTTTACACAGCAGTTTAGTTCCCATTCAACAATTTCTACACAAGTTGTTCAGTGACATTGATTACATTCCTCTCAACGCATGAACATTCTCATTATTTCCATTCTGGATGTTCCATTTCCTATCATCTAGCTTCCCTGCCCCCTTACATTCTCAGCTTTGTTTTAAAGTAATTATTGACCGTTTGGTCTCATATAGATGATTTCTTAAAGGAGCACAGTACTTATGGGTGATAGTCATTATATTTTGAGCCCATCTGTTATTTAGCTACAAGGTGACCTCAGGGGTTAGTTTTAGTTCAAGGTTTGAAGAGTATCTCAGGGCAATCATCTCAGGGCGTCCTCCAGTCTCAACCAGTCCAGTAGGTCTGGTTTGGTTTGTTTGTTTTTTAAGGAATTTGTGGTTTTGTTCCACATTTTTGTCCCATTCTGTCAGGATCCATCTAGTCACCCAGAATCCATTTTCTGGAGAGTGTGCCACCAGAGGTGTGCCGCAGATGTGCCTCAGACACCTGAGGCAGCGGGCGCAGGGCCCTCACAGGAGCAGCCCTTACCCCGCGCCATGGAAGACCACTGGGGTGGCAGCAGACCGTCTTCTTCTGGAACATTCTTGTGGTCACTGGGGCACTTTCTTGGCCGGGTGATTCTCAGAACACTCCATAAACTACTAATATCCTTGATGATATTTCTTTCCTGCTTAACCCAGCTGGAGTGGGTTCTGTGTCTGCCACAGAGAACTCTGACTGATTCAATCCCCAGCACCATCTCCTCTCCTGGCTGGCCGCCCAGGACTGTCACGTAAGCATCGTGCCTTACACATACGTGGCAGGTTATAACATTTCCCAAAGATGGCCACAGCAATATCACCCAGCCTACTTACTTTGGATATGGAGGGACCAGTTGCTGGAGAAGGACATCCTGCTTGGTAAAGTAGAGAGTCAGCGAAAAAGAGGGGAACGCTCAACGAGATGGATTGACACGGTGGCTACAGCAGTGGGCTCAAACATAGCAACGATTGTGAGGATGGTGCAGGACTGGGCAACGTTTCCTTCCGTTATACAGGTCGCTATGAGTCAGAGCCGACCGGACGGCACCTAACAACAACAATACATGCTCTTCTAGAATCTTGCCATTCCTCCATCCAAGAGGTGGGAGTCTATGTCTCCTCCTCTAGAATCAACTGGGTTTGTGACTCATTTGTAACCGGTGGAATGTAGTGGAAAAAGTAACATTCTCATTAAAGGTCCAAATCCTGCACTTCAATAAAAAAAAGCCTTCCAGATCTGAAAGCAAACAGCTCGTAAGAGAGAGATTCAAAGGCCTTGCTCAGCCTGGGAAAGGGTCTCACTTGGGGTGGGTGGGGTGGTGTGGGTTGGGGTTGGGAGGGGCTGGCAACAGGGGGTGGGGTGGGGTAAGGGCGGTGGGAGAGCAGGAAGGGGGTGCCGTCTCCAGCTCCTCCCTCTACAAATGCCTTTTCCAGTTGCTGCTAATGCCTGACATTCCACCATTACCATTCCACCCTGCAGCCTAAAGCTGTGGCCGCATTAGGAGCCATGAGGTGCCACGGCTGCGCACTGGACACAGTCCAGATTGGTTGACTGGCCTGGGGTAGGTCACCCCGCGTCTCTGGGCCTCCTCGGTATCCCCGTCTGCAAAATGGAGTCAAGAACACGCTCGTCCGGGCTGTCTACAGGAGTTGAGGGGATCCTGGGGCCCATTCATGGAGGCAGCACATAGCCCCAAGCACCTGCTCTGACCAGGAGGGACTGGCCACGCTGGGTGCCTGAAGCCATGGTGGAGAGCAGGACTCACGTGTCCCTCCCCCATGGGCCCCTTCCTCTGCAGGGAAGAGACAAAGGACAGAAGCAGTCCCAGGAGCAGGTGTGTCTGCAGGGGCCTGACCCCCACAGCGGGCCATAAGCCCGAGACCCCCTCTCACCTACAGCCCCCACACTCTAAAACCCCCCACAAGCCACCCACCGCCCAGGAAAGGGTAGAGTCTCCCCTGAGAGCAGTGGTCAGGTAGGAGGGGCTGATCCAGACTGTGGGAGACTAGATGTGCTTCTTCCCAATGAGGCCCATCGAGGCTGGGGCCACCGGAAGTCACGGCCGAGCCAGGTGCACACTGGAACCTTCGGGAGCCCAGCTGAGCCCCCAACCTCAGGTATCCCCAGGCACCCTCGGGCTCTCCAGCTGGTTGTCCCAGGCTATTTGCCCTACCTGCCCTCCTCTCATCTCCCTTCCCCCACCGTTGCCCCCTACCCCAGTCCAGCCAGACCTGTCGGCTGGCAGCTCCATCTGGCGGTGGGACTAGCCAGGCACAGGGGTGTGGCTAGCTTCTCAACTTCACAGCCCCCACCTCTTATTGTTAGGGGGACAGAACATGTCTGGGACAAGGAGTAGCAGCTGATAGGGACCTAGGTGGTGCCCTGGGCCCTGCGTCCCTGAGCCCAAGTTGGAGAGAAACTCCTATACAGACCTCTCCACATGGCTTCCGGGATCAAAGCAAAGACACACCTGCGTATGAGGCCCTGCCCGCCCTCGGCCCCTCACTCCCTGCCTTGGCTGCGGCCTCTCCAAGGGGCC